TTTTTGCACCTCGACCACGCCGATCCCCGCAGAGGGTCGCAATCCCGATCGAAGATCAACGTCCTGCCCGCCCTAGAAAGCTAAACTTAACTTACATAGCTGCTAACGCCGAAGCGCTATGCACTTGGCTCTAGCACTTGGCTCTACGCACTCCGCTCTATGCACTCGGCACTGCGCACTTGGCTCTACGCACTTGCCTCTCTATGCACTTGGCTCTATGCGCTTGGCTCCATGCGCTTGGCTCTATGCACTCGGCTCTACGCACTCGGCTCTGTGCGCTTGGCTCTATGCACTTGGCTCTATGCACACTTGGCTCTATGCAATTGGCTCTATGCGACTGCCCCTATGCACTTGGCTCTATGTACGGCTCTATGCGCTTGGCTCCATGCACTTATGCACTTGGCTCTATGCGATTGACTCTGCGCAAGTGACTCTACGCAAGTTGGTCCGAGAGCTCCGCTCGGAGGAACCCTTTGCGATGCTCTTGGGAAAAAGAGAAAGAGAAATAGAAAGAGAAAGGGAAAGAGAAAGACATTCACAACCCTCCTGCCAGGACAACGGCGCACAAGCAAAGGGAAGGGCCCACACAAGACACGGGCGATGTTTCAATGTTTTGTCTCACACGCCCGGCACCTGCCTGTCCACCTACGGTGGGTCTCGCTGGCCTGAAATCAGAAAGTCTGCTGCATCAAACACGCTGGCTGTTTCGGGTCCTGGTCTTTGCCGCCGGCTCCACTCCTGCAACTTCTAAGGAATAGTGTTCAACGCGGGACGCTTGTGACATTTGCTGGGCAAGGGAGTGGTCTAAGCATTTCCGAAACCGGACTTGGGGATCTGGAGACAACACCCTTGCCTCCCCGCCGCCGCACATCGCTCTGCCGGCTCAGCTCCAGTGGGGCGATCACACGGGAATTGGACTTTGAGGCTGCAGGCGCCTCTTCCTCGCCTGTCTCTCTCTACTCGTTTTGATTTAGCTCAGGCTTTTGCCAATTTTGGCTCTGCAGTCAGTGAGGGTCAGAAGGCCAAAGTGAGACCCTGGCTCAACTCATCCAGCTCGATGCCAGTGCTCTGGCTCTCATTTGCCTGGAAACAAAGCATGGCCAGCGCGGACACGCCAAGAGCAAAGACTTTGGCCTCTGAGTCGGCTTGGCCTTTCTTCATGCCTTAGGTCTGGCAACGGCTGTGGAAAATAACCTTCCTGGGGTTCGCTGTTGGCGAAATTTTGACTGCTGGTCTGGTCTGACGCTTTCACTTGCTGTTGGGCTGGAAGTCATGCGGGCCAAGGTTGTAAGGCTCTCAAGGTTGTTCCTCGTTGCCGGGGCTGCTCCTCCTTGAGCCCAACGCGCGGGGCCTTGCAAGCTCCATAGACTTTCGCCGGTCTTCATGGACCTTTAGCGAGACTTGCGGCGTCCACTGAACAATCCATTGTTGCGCGCAGTGTTTCGGGTAGCTCCCCTTGCCCGCGCGCTCTCCCCTTCTGGGCCGCCGCTCAAAACGGCCGCACGCCGTTCTCGCTGCGCCGCTGCCTCCGTGGGCCAAAGCACGGCCCCTGGCACCCTCCGCCACCTCCACGACACCATCGACCACCTCCCACCGGCACCCCAAGCCAAATCTTACACGACCAAAAGCAACCACAGGCGCACGGTTCGGTTTCCCAGCCAGCGGCGTTTACGCGGTATACTACAATCTCGGCAGGCTTCCGGCCGGTCCCCAGCCAGCTTCGAGAAATATTTGAGAGATTTGTGAAAAACACAAAAAGCATTTGTCAGCCTAGGACGCCAGACGGTAGGACAGCGGCGTCACAAAGCGCTTCACATCCTGGCCCCAAGGCGGCACAAAGCGACGAGCCACGGCCAACCGCAGCAATTCTCAGGATGGCCGTCGGGTGTTGTTGGGGTTTGGAGGTGTTCAAGAAAATGCAAGCCGTTTCGAAACACCCAGAAGGGCTTTGCCTGAGATGCAGATGCGACGCAAATCCAAATGCTGGGCACCCGACAGTCTCGCCTCGGCGCAACCAAGGCCTATCCAAGCATGACTGGGTGTGGCCCTTGCAGCTGAGCTGCGCATGGCAGAGGGTCCTGGACGTCAGGTCACTGCTCACATGAGTCACTGACAATACGATTGGCGGACTACTGCTGGCTTGGGGAGGTAAGGGAGACACCCAAACTTCTCACAAAATCCAAGGGGCCAACATGTTTGTTCCTTTCTTGTCTTGGGAAGCAAGCAGGTTTGGCCAAACCTTACATTGAAAACCGCGCGACCCTGAATATTCAAGCAAGTGGCGGGGGGTGCAAATGACGCTTGCACCACCCGGGCATGGCGCCGAGGACGACATCTGCAAATGGAGCAATCGCTGTGGCAATCCAAATCAAATCTTCAGGCGGGTTCTTGCATAGTTTTGCCACACAAGCTTTCCTGAGTGCTCCCCGTGTGTTGTTTGCTTGACGGATTCCACTGCCACCGAGCAGTCGTGCGCCATCATCTGCTGCGGCTTCGGACGCGCAAGCATACCTGTCCAACCTAAAAGGGCGCCCACTCCCTCAAACCACTCTTTGAGGGGAAAAGGTGGTTTACTACTAGAAATCAAGAACATGTCCGGCCATGTCCCCTCAGCCAAGTCATTTGCGGGCTCTCGCTCCAACGCCATGCGCGCAACAGCCGGCACCACCACTGGGCTGGGAGCTTGTGAAAAGGAGATGCCTCGCATGCCCGAGGACGGCAAATATGGGCTCTGTATATATTGGGACCTAATCCAACGGTTAGTCCCTCGCACGTGTCACACAGAAGTACCTGACAGAGATGTTTCAAAAGGGAAACAGACTTGGTGGGCTTGGCGGACCGTCAGGCTGCAAACTGGGCGGATGTGTCGTAAGCATAGGGGGCCCCATTTGCTCAAAGGGCAACCCAAAGAAACCCGAAAGAAGCCCGGATCCATATACGCAATATCGAGCACTTGAGGCAGCCGCCAACCATGAAGATCTGGCGCTTTCCTCCCAGCCTACATTGAATGTGGAAGACACAAGAAAACGCTACTACACAAAGTTTGGGTTGGGACTATCTGCGAACCTGTACCAGAGGAGTCTAACAAGTCTCACATAAGCTTTTGCTCGCAAGCCGTCGCCTCTGACTCTCTGGCACCGGCAGCAAGTCCTCTGCTTCGGCGAAGAATATTTGTGCCATTCAAAGCTGCCAGTAAGATTTCCACGCCGCTCTGGCTTTCCATGACCATCCGTCCTCGAATGTTTGCGCAAAGAAAAGCTCTGAACCACGTGACACATCCCATTCTTCGGGCGGCTGCCATTCCGAGTCACCTCAGGTCTTCCGAGTTTCTCTGCCTAGGCACGGATGCAGAATAGCAAAATAGAACACTGTGTAGAAAGATGTTTTGCGAAAGTTAATTTTCCGGGAAATATAGACATGCTACCAGGAAAATTGGAGATAGCTTTGCATCCAAAAGCGCGATCTGAGTTGGGACCCTACCAAGCCGGTGCATTTAGGGGTTTGCCGCAGTCTTGGCGCCAGGCCAAAGCTTCCTTCACTCGCCTCATGGTCGAGCTGGGCGGCACTGTCACTACCTGAGGCCACGTCAAAGTCCACCAACAGGTCCAACCAATCACAAAAGAGGCTCAGCACCGGGCCACGGAGTCACGGTCTGTGGGATGTGTCACAGTGACCTGGAGCTAATGGCGCGCACCTTATGCAAAATCCGCCGCCCCCTTGTCCGCAAGGGTGAGGCGCCGGGGAAGTGCGCTCTTGTAAGCGTGGGCATTAAGCCTCCACAGCGTGGGGCGTTGGCTACCTATTATCGAGCGGTCCGGTGGGAATGCCAAAAACTGTTGAGACGCGATGACAGATTTTGTACATAGGCTTTGGGCGTGATGCTGCGACACATAAACTACTTGCACGCGCGCAAGCACGTTGTTATTAGAGTGGGATGATGCTTTTGAGATCTCACGGCAAAGACACGGATGCAAAAAGACGTTGGGACGCAACAATGTGTTTTTAACAACTTCTATACTTGGAATTCACGTTGGAACCTGGGCGCCGATTCTCGGATGTGTGGATTTGGACGCTGGTGTGGTTTTGTGAGTTTGCACCGACAAGAAGGAGCTTCGCGCTCACTGGGTCTGCAACACGATGCGTTGTCACTTTGCGCGGCAGCAAGCACTTAGAGGTTCACGCTTACCGTGAAATCTCGATTGGAACGCTTCGCCTACTAAAGCTGTCGTCCATCATATCTTCCCTTTCTTGTAAAAAACCTTTCATCACTATCATCATCATAGGTGTCATCGCCTCTTTTTTCTTAAAAATACAGTTCCGGTGTGCTGTTACGCACCCTTGGTGATGCAGGGATGCTGCCACGCTCGTTGTCATCAGAGGCATCAATGTCATCATCATCATCATTATATATGGTCATGCGTCATGCATGATGATAACTGACATCCCCAGCGGCGTATGATAATTGTCATTACCCGTGTCACAATGATCGTTCTCATCATCATAGTTCTCACAAATATCTTTCTTTTCTTACTTTACATACATTTCAAGTGCGCCCATTTCAAGTGCGCCATTAGACACCCTTGGTGATGCCATCGTCGCCAACATCAGCATCATCATCATCATCGTGATCATTATCGTTATGCATCGTCATGGTCATCATCGTCACGTGGGTCGTGGGTGACCATGATAGCCATCGTTGTGGCAGCCCCTGCATCCCCACTGCGCCGATGATGATTGTCATCATCCGTGTCACGATGATGGTGACCATGACGATGGTGATGATGATGTAGCCAAGCACAAGAACTGAATCATCCTCATCATCTCTTTCTTGTCTTGTGAAATCTTCCCCGTCATGGTAAACAAACATCATTATCACCATCCCACGTGTCATCATCTCTTTCCCTTCTTATTTTTACATTTCAAGTGTGCCATTAAGCACCCTTGGTGACGCAGAGGGCGCTACGGTCATAGCTATCACAACAGTCAACATCATCATCATC